CCTTTCTTGATATTGTCCTGATATATTTGGATCTCCAAAACAATCATTTCACTCATGATAAATCGTATTTGAAGCGTTGAGCCAGCAACATCTTCTGCTCTGGACTGCGCCACGGATGGTGTTAAACCTTGGGTATTGTCGATTTGCGATTTTTTAGGAAAGGAGTGGGCTGCATTTGGATTTGAGAAATTTCAACCATAACGTAAATAGTGCGAAGTGAGTCGTTCGTGTTGCGGAGTTGAGATGATTTTGGTGAGAGACGTCGCGGACTGAGGGTGGAAACAGGCAGAAACTGGGAGTTTTACGCGGTTATCGCCATATTTATCTCCCTTTCGTTCTTCTAAGGAAAGAGCGCGCGGAAGTTGTGGCTGGGTCGTGGGTCGTGGTGGGGGAGGGTTTTTTCGGGAAGACCCTGAATAATTGCTAAAATGTTTTTAGATTGCACAAGGAAGAAAAATGTTAAGTTGGCACCGACCATTGTCGCCAGAGTTTAGTGTGCTGTTGAGTCAAGCATATTCAGCGGTACCGTTCTGCGGTAAATGAGTGAACGAGTGTTGTCTATTTAGCGCCGTGAACTAGGTCACACAATCAGTGCTGATTTGATTCATACATAGAGAACAATAGGGACTCCAAAACTTGGACCTGGCACACCAGTCACACCGCTCGCGCACGCTACCGTCTATTTTTGCTTGTCCTGGTCCTACTTCCTTTCTGTTCGATATTCAAATAAGATTCTGTCGAGTTATGGTTAATTCTTGAACTACGACTTTTTGAAATCAACTTACGAATGCGTTTTCATGTAGTAACTGTTGGTTTTGTAAGAAGTAATCACTTGTAGAAGTTTGATCAACGTTACACTGGATTTGGCTGTGATTTTGATCAGTATATCAATGCGCACTGGAGCGGCCCCTCTTGCTACTTACACATCCGCGCTCGAATTTAGTATTTTTGAAATGTGAATTGACAACTTAATTAACATTATATACACAATATCCATATTTCATTCGTGGAACGAAGCAAGTGCGCCAGCCACCGTACTGATAGATATTGTAAGCTGCCCTCTGTGAAGTGCGCGACTTTGATGAGTTTGTANAGGGTGGGGCGTACTTGCTACTTGCTTCGGTTGTAAGAAGTGGCATGTGAAGAGAGGGGAGGCGTGGGAGAAAATTTGCCGTTTTAGCGCGCGTATATCCTCCCCCCCGTCGAGGTATTTTTGGAGGAAAAATGGGGCGGGGTTTTGATGGAAGATGGAGATGCTGGAGGAGGTGTGGAAAAAGGGGGGTCGTATCAATTCCACCTTGGGGAGGGGGTCGTAAAAATTTTTTGAAAAGTAGCAACGATAGGACCGACCCTGGTCGCAAGCCTATCTCAACCAACGTTGCACAATCCCTGAGGGTGACTTCGGCACATAATTAGGACCCAGATCCTCATCCAGTGGAACAAGCTCTTTCTAAAACATCACAGCTATGCTTCTGGAAATTTTGTATACACATTCCTCTTCGCTCCAAAGCTAGTTATGTTTCTTCGTCCGTCTCTCCCTTGCACCCTTCGTTTTATGATGTTGTTTTTCTGTGCAAAGTATCGAATCGTTTTATTCATATGGACAACGTTTTCTCTAACACAGCGCCCTCTTTTGCCGTTTTCTTGTTATATATCCTATGGAATCAGAACGCTCGTATGCGTTCACTGAAGCCTTATTTTGGTTGTAATTTCATTTCTTTCTAGTTGAAGTTTTACTCAATAGTTTTCTGGTTCACCTAAACACAGTTGCCACCGAACTTCCTGCAATAGCGAAAAATTCGTGGGTGCCGAAGATGCTATCATGTTTTGATCAAAGAAATTTTTCTATCATTTCTGCTCTCGAGCTTTCTCCATTAACTACGGCATATAGCAAAGGTCTCGCCATCAAAGATGTCAACTGCAATCGACCGTCCAAGATAATTTCAACTTGTTGGCATCGGCTACGAACGACGAGCGGGTTTCAGTGGAGGCGAAATCGCCCATAATGAGAAGTTAGCCAGTTTGTGAGTTCTTCTGTATGTGGTCACCTTATGAGCAATTTTTATGGCTTCTGGCTCAGTCGCTCCCCTACCCCTTTTAATGGTCACTTATATTGGCCGACTTTTTTAATCGCAGTCACTAGTATTTTGTGAACACTTCATGGGTTTTCCATGGAACTACCAGCGTATTCTCTTCGTTGAACTATTTTTTTCGCTCGGGTATATATACTCCGTTCAAAACTATAAGACATACCCCAAGTAGTGGGTTTCTGAAGTTGTGAGAAAATAAGCACAAAAATGGCCTACACCATTTGGTTCAGCATGTAACGAAACCTACACAAATGAACTTGCGAGCAGTTTCATCGACTTGAAAAAAATCTTGGGTCAAAACATTGAAAATATGGCCATTATGGCCATTGCAAAACTATACGACATAGCAGAAATTTCGACAATTTTTTCACTTCATTGGAATTTCTCCTAACACTCAACAGTCATAACAGTGCAATGTTGTGGACAATGTACTCCACGGATTTACATTGTGACGCTCTCACCTTGAGGAACCGATCTGACATGTTTTCTACCAATGTTTGTAAGGCGTCCTTCAGGATAGGTGCGTAACCTTTGAATAGCGCTTTTCGCAGGCGATGCGCGAAATTGTATCGACTTCTCTAGGAATAAGGACTACGATCAAGGATGCCGTGAAGGTTTTCCACCGGATTCAGAGCTGGCTAAGAAACGGACCGTTCGAGTAAATCTACACGGTAGGCTTCAAAGCAAGTCAAAGTCGACTTAAAAGCGTGGACATCAGCGTTGTGTTGCTGGGAAATATCCCGAGGATAACGATTCTGTACCATACACGGTAGCTGGCGATAGATGGGCAATTCCTGCTAATTCGTGGGGTTCACTCCTTGAATCGGTGAAGACAACTTCTAGCCTGTCAAACCAGCCGTAGGCTGTGCAGTATCATTACCAAGCTCCTCTTCGAGAAAAAGATGGATTTCTGCTAGAACCGCTTCTGTACTCGTACCACCCATCAGAATGGATAAGAGGAACACTTTCCCGCCGAAGAGAACTACCTGTGGTATGCAACACCAAATAAGTTCTTCCTCCTTTAGATTATAAGTCAAGAAGTGCAATCTGTACGGCAAGCTGAAAGATTCACCGAACGCCATGATATGCTTTAACATCACCGTGTACGGTCTATGATGCAAAACCGTCTTCATCTTATATTTTTCAGCAGTTGAACGCTACTATCCATGTTATCGAGTCGAGTTCCACTTGCTCTGAAGACTACCATACAGATTAACTCAGATGGTCCACTTCTTAGCCAGCTCTAATCCGGTGGAAAACCTATAGGACATGCTTTATCGTAGTCTTGATTCCTAGAGTAGTAGGTACAACTCCGTGCAATCGCCTGCAAAAAAGGCTATTCAAAGGTTACGCACGGATCCTGGAGGATGGCTTACAAACATTGGTAGAAAACATGTCAGATAGGTTTCTCAAGGTGAGAGCGTCAAAAGGTAAATCCGTGAAGTACATTGTCCACAACATTGCACTGTTACGACTGTTCAGTGTTACGGAGAAATACTAATGAAGTGAAAAAATTGTCGAAATTTCTGCTATGTCGTATAGTTTTGCAACGGCCATATTTTCAATGTTTTGACCCAAGACTTTTTCAAGTCGATGAAACTGCCCGTAAGTTAATTTGTGTAGGTTTCGTTACATGCCAAATCGAATGGTGTAAGCCATTTTTGTGCTTATTCTTTCGCAACTCCAGAAACCCAAAATTTGGGGTATAGTTTTGCAACGGAGTGTATACTAGGCTTCCGTCGTATTCCGTTGATTACCCTATACATACAAGGTGGCCGAAAAGTATTGGACGCGCCTTTGACCGCTTGCTGGCTCCTAGCCGTAGAATATTTTCAGAGTGTTTCGAAACTCTTCGAAAGCTTTGAAATTGTGAGAGAAGCACTATAACTTGTTTGATCCAAAGTTCATCTGAACTCTTCGTTCGATTCGCAAACTATGACGTTGGCCAAATAGTCGTACTATCTATAAATGCAAAGCTATTGTCCCTACTGCTGCTGTTCTGTAGCCCTGCTACGTATCTTTCCCAAGTACTTTCTAGTTTTTTTGAATGACTCACACTGCTTGTCTGCTGCATTTTTTTTTATGTCCCATAGCTCCACTGCAAAGTTCCTCACTTCCTTCACTGTCTATCCACAATGCTGAGCTCTCTCAATCGAGGGCAGCTAGGCGCTAGACACATGAACCGATAAACGTCATACCTTCGTAACATTCCTATGGGTGCGCACACTTCATAACAAGTTTTAAACGATTATTCTATAAGCTAATTCTCCTGTGTGATACGCCCAACTATGGAAATAGTCAATGGGAGCTTACCAATGTTTTTGTTCGTGTACGGTCTATGGAGAATTCTATGAATCTCGGTCCTGAGCGGAAAGAAAGACTTTGCCCGCGCACATTTAAACTCATAAAATCAGTCATCTACCATAGTAGGAATCGACTAAGAGATTGTTGTAGTTGGGAAATCATTTACTGCTTCAGTAACAACGATAAGTACCTGTAAAAAAGTAAATCTTACCCAAAGGTTCGCGGCTCGGAAAATGCATGATGATAAATAAAAACAACAAAGTATTAGTAACATAACGTAGAGGCATTGTAATCGCAGCAATAAAGAAGAATTTGTACAGAACACAATGTAGTGGAGTTAACTGTTAAATAGGCAGTTAGGCCTCGTGCTTTTTTTTTCGTGTAAAAAGTGGAAGACGGTTGGAATGATTGTGATTGGTGGGAGTAGCATTCCACCAGTAATATAGGAGTTTTTACGCAAGTTAAAAGTTAGCAAACAGAAAGCAACCTCTCATCTCATAGAGTAATTTTGATGCGCCTTTTATAGCATGTATTTCACTCTACTTATGTACCCCAGAAATATGAGGGATGTCTGTCGCCAAATAAGTACAGCGTTAGCTTCAGCGCTTATGCTGCAGTACTGGGTTTCCGTTCCGTTTGCAAATCAGCGGTCCTCAAGTTGACGCGTCCGAGGTTGCCTCCGAAGACGTCTGCTGAACTGGAAGCCATGGCAGCCAGAGAGCGTATCGTGAAATTATTAGCCCATTCGTTCTGGAAATAGGCGATTAAATTTGGCTTCAGTTTACTAACACATCTCTGTGGTTGTAAAATCTGGTTCTGTAGTGTGTTGAATTACTCATACCTCTTCTGTTCCATACTCCTTCACATAAGAAGGCATAGTTGAAGGATCCGGTGGCAACTAAAAAAACTACTTCCTCAGATATGCGTGGTATCTTCAAATGTGAGGATGTACTCACCGCATTAGGCATGTAACTGGTGTTCAAGTATTGATTGATTTTCGACTCCACAAATGCAAAATAGCCTGAAATAATATTATATTAATATTTGAGCGTATTAGGTTGTGTCATCACAACCTAATACGCTCAAATATATGGATATTTGGAAAAACTGCGCAAAATTTCCTTTGGTTCTAGTCTCGTAAACACTAAAACATACAAGTAGTTGGTCAATATTTGAAAGGTCAATTTCTTCATAGGTTGACGTGACTTTGATTGTAAGGCAGAATAACACCATGATGTGTAGAGGTCACCACGCGAGTCGCCTACATTTGGATGTGCTATGCGTGCGATAATTAGAAGAGGATTCCTTGATGAGTTTGAATCGAAGAAGGGGACGAACACCTAGAGGAAAGCGAGGGCCCCAAGGATGCGTGACAATGAACGCTTCGCAGGGAAGTGCATTCTCCTAGCGGCCTAGCGGGCTGTATCGGCAACACGCTCAACGCTACACCCCATGGAACGGGTGAAAATCGGTCGACGACTCGTCGACAGCTCGTGAGAATTTTCGCAGTTTCAGGTGCGCTCTCCCGCGCGAACATTAACTCTTGCCACGTGCGAGCCGTCTGTGCTCTCCGCTCATACATTCGCTCTCGGTACTATTCTCACACACTACACAGCCATGGTCGATAATTTCCTCGACCGTCATTTACTTCTCTGATACTGGGCGCTCCTCACCGTAGGACTCAAGCGCTAGCCGTTCAGCAGGGGCGAGCAGAATGTTGATACTGATGCCGTCAAGACCGATTGGATTTGCATGAACGGAAATCAACGGGACCGAAAGGGGTGCTCATTTTTCGGATTCTGGGCCGATTTTCTTGATTTTTTCCATCCCTACATCACTTGCCACATCTATCCTTACTTCTAATGGGCTGCCTAATTATTGTGAACCTTTCTTTGATTCGAAGCGTCGGTTAGCGTGGGAAACGGTGGATACGCAAACACTGCGAAACAGGCGCACCCGGCTCAGGGCACAGGAGAAGAGTCACTGTAGGCGTAGCTAAGAATGCAGCACGACGAAGTTTGCGCGACGTCGCACGGTGATTTGACTTCCATAACATTGTATGGTAATTGAAAACCGATGCCTACCGTGGATTCCATTTTCCAAATACAAGTAGGTCATACGGTTGACGACCTTGAGCACTGGTAGACAGAAGAAGTAAACGAGACCCACTAAGGGGTCAAACTAAAATTAGTTTGTCAGAATTTTTCAAAATTTTGATGCGATTCAACAATAATGTGGTTTCAGTTAGATGCTCACCGTAACATTGATCGGCATAATGTCCCCGAATCCGGCAGTTGTGTAGGTTTGTACGGAGAAATAGAAGCATTCCCACCACGAAAGTCCTACATCTGGACCAGTCAAGCGGTCGTAGTAGTAGAGAAACACTGTTGTCAATCCAAGGAAGCCTAGAAATTAGGAACATCGAATCATAGGAAGGGCTCGCCTATGGATTGAGTCTGTTTTCCATAAGAAAAATGGACTTACCGAGCATTGCTACCCAACCAAATTTTACTGGTAGTATGATTAGATCGTCAGCAGAAATCTTTGCCTTCTCGTAGGTGGAGCTGTAATTTAGAAACCTCATTCAGGTCTTTCGAAAAGTCCGGTCGTTTTTTAACCTTTAACTTCAATTACCATGTATACACTTTCCCCAAGAAGAAACGTGCTCAAAGGCTGATGGCGCACCATTAATTTATCAATGTCAATTTTATGTCAAACTGATAAATTGGCTTTGCTTGCTGTAAATTGAAGCTGGCCTTTAGGTAACGAGATGTGGGAATTTCGCGGGGAGAGGCGCGCTGTGAGGGCCAACAAGCCCTTACCTGAGGCGACCGATGCGTTCGTGGATAGCACCGCCTCTGAGTGAATTACTCGCCCCCTGATTAGTTGATAGTGTTTGCGGTGAGAGGTGGCCGACTGAGGCGAGAGAGTGTGAAAACACACGAGGTGAGCATTTTAATGACGTCTATCGTCGAATCTCGCGGAAAACAATGGGCAGAAAGGGGCCCTACTGGGCGTTTCCCTTGATTTTTTTCACCACTGCGCCATGTGCCACCTTCACTTTTGTTTCCAACAGCTACCAGGTTGTCTTACTATTTGCATTTAATTAATCCCGTGGTTAAGAGGGCTGGAACATGGAAGCCGTTGAATTGGCAAAGGTCTTTTTAGCGTCTCGTTGAGTTTTACAGCATTTCTCCAAATACAGCTATCTCGATAATCAAAGCACTTAAGAAAGGGCAAAGGCAGAAGGTAGGAGAGAGGTTGGATAAGTAAGATTAGTGCGGCAAAGATTTGTAGCCCGGGTCGCTCATCTTGCGCAGGTGGCTCGGGAGATGTGCGACCGAACCACTTTGGAAAAGGGCCGACACATGTTTTAGAAATTTTAATGTATTTTGGCATCTCGAGAGTAGTGTCAGTTATGAGATATCTCAATCAAACTCGAGCTAAGCCTCATTCAGACTACATGCACAGCATTCCCTATAGACGGATGTCACACCTTGCGAATCGAATGATTCGCTAGCGTTCGCGTCGCGGCCAGCGAATCGCTCTATTGGCCGGTACCGCAACGCGACCATGGAAGCTAGCGAATCGCTAGTAGCAAATGGTTCAATTCGCGAAACTTGACATCGGTCTAACTCTCTCCCTTCGTGCAGATCCGGCTTTGGGGCAGTGTGGAGAGTTTGACCGTGGCCGAACAGTTCAGGATCGGCGGCTATTTAAGGAGGTCCATAATCCAGTTAGAAAACAAATTGGTTTTGCTTCGAAGTTTCGGGGTCTTTTGCGTACGTCGTATTAGAGGCACAAAAAGTGGAAACATTTCTTTAGAGCAAAATTGAAATAGCGTTATGGTGAGAAATCCATCTCAAAATGGTGTGTGAATCACCAGCATCTTGCAAAAACTGACCCAAAAATGAAGCACTTGAAAAAGAGTACTAGAACGTTATGTTCGAATCAGTCGATTTTTATAGACCGTCGCTGTTTGTTCTCACTTATTGTAACTCCTTCTCGACCATGGATGCGTTGTTTCCAGGAAATGTCTTCTAATTCTATTAGTTTCATGCAAACGCTTTTGAGAAACGGTTATTTGTTTATTATTATATTTAATTTCTCAATTATTTGTTTATGTCACAAACTCATAATAAACCTTCCCTATCTGTAGGCAACCCAATTGATTTCTACCTTCACTACATTCATACAGTCTGATCGCCAAATATCGTGTACCAGTTTGAGCAGTAGAAACTTACGTGAACTTAAATTTGACGTAGCCATAAAGTTTCGTCAAATACACCAATCCGAACTGGCCTAGATCACGACTGATGACCATGGTAACAGGACAGAACAGCATTGTGTAAATCATTACCATAACAATTCCTGTGATGGTTTCGGCGGCGATAGTTCCTGAAAATACCATAGTATTTGACAGTCCTTAAGCGAAATATCTCTCTTTTTACTTTGACGGTAGTGCGCTTTAGCTTTTTTAGTTTTTTTGGACGCGTGTGCCAGGCGCGATTCAACGAACACTGCCGAAATACAAGAAGAAAAAAGTTAGGAAATTTTAGGTAGGCTCAGCACTATGTAATTAACTCCGGCCCACCTCGTGTATAATACTTATATCTGAATATATCTATAAAATAAAAATATTGCTGCCAATGTACAGGAAATTACACTGCAGGGAAAGGATTTTCGCGGAAGTTGACCAAAGAGTACACGCCGTTCCACACAGGGTCAACCTTCCGTTGCGCGGTTTTCAACGGCCACGTTGCGCAGTTTTGCCCGATTAGACACGTTCTCTCGCGCGAATTCACACTCGCATGTTCAGGCCGTCTGGTCTCCGCCCATACAGCGTGCGTTGAGGATCTCTCAACGTGCCGTTGCGAACTGCGCAACGCAGTGTTGACTCTGGTTCCACAGCGCTCAAAAGTATTCGGCCAAATGCTTTTTCGGCCATAGCTTTGTTAAATCAGAACATATCAATTTTTGATATATTCTAGAGCCAAACTTCTCCACTCAGCAAGTGTATTGCTGTTGAATGGAAGAAAGAATTTAGAAAGAAAATATTCTTACTTTAAAAATTCTCGATATGATCAAATTCCAAGAAAATTTTAATTTTTTTTTGTAAAAACTTAAAATTCAGCAAAACAATCCATCGCATGATAGGAATAGTGAAGCGGATCCGATACTTACATGATAACATTCTGGAGTTGCGAAAACCTTAGCAAGGTCTAAGTGTGGAACCAACCACTTATTGCATTGTCTATTGGGAGAACTTCCCAATTTTCCCTCTAATTGGACGCGCTTTTCTTCCATATTCCTGACTCTTCCTCCTGCCGAAGGTTTCCTTATTTCTTCCATAGTGTTCCGATAACGCTCTGGACATGCGACTGAATTAGTGTCTCCGTTAGAAGCAACCATGCTGGCGAAGCCACGCCTTCACTGTGGAGGTGCAATGCTTTTGGCCGCTGCTCCATCGCTAGAAGACGAAGACTTAGCGTGCGGTTGCCATGCGTGGGTACATAACACCTTCCAGAACCCAAGTTTGTACGTCCGCCTGCACACCTTCAGGATCCTATGCAGCGGTACAGCTTCTTGTACGGCCTGCCATGACCAAGCCTCCGCTTAGTTTCAAGGATGGCAGCTGTTACTCCCGATCAAAACGCCTTCCATCAGGACCCCACATTTTGTTACCGCCGCCACCGCCAAACGTCCTAAACGTACTCTCGTCGCTCTGGATGACGTTGGAACCCTATGGAGATCATCACCTCAGATGTGCGTAAGCACGTTCCATCTCATACCACCGTAAAACCGTACAAAGTCGCAGATTCGCGAACTGGTGGAGGCGGACGTATACGTTTAGTTTCTAGAGGGTGTTGTGTATCCACATGTACGGCAAATGCTCGTAATGTCTTCTCTTGTAGCAATTGAGCGACCAAAAACATCGTATCTCCACTGTGAAGGAGTGGTTTCGCCAGCATGGCGTGTTACTTATGAAGGGACCAATGCCACATTTCCTGAGCGTCATCGAAACACTATGGAAGAAGGCAAGGGAATCTTCGGCAGGGGAAAGAGTCAGGAATGTAGAAGAAAATTTGAGGAAGTTGCCCCAATAGACAGTGGAATTAGTGATTGATTCCACACATAGAACGTGTAGAGGTTTTCACAACTCTAGAAGGTTATCATGTAAGTATTGAATCTGCTACAAGTTTCCTATTATGCGTTGGACTGTTTTGTTGAATTGTAAGCTTTTTACAACAAATTGAAATCAACTTGGAATTCGGACATACCGGTGAATTTTTGAAGTAACAATTTTTTCTTTCTAAATTCCTTCAACTTTTCAATTCCTACACCAAGGGACGTCGTCTCCGAAAACTCTCGAACAGATAGGCCAGCGTGGAGCCGCACGAGCTGCAGGCAATCACCGGAATGCATGGGCGGGCAGGCGGAGACTATGCAGAGAGGCGATAAAGGAAGATCTCAAGGAGCGAAGAGCAGCAGTATTAGCTGAAGCAGCAGAGGCTGGGGGAGCATCCGCAGCCGCGAGCTTTGCCAGCTACAAGATCAACATGACTTGCCTCCGACGTTCAGATGGGACAGTTACTGCATCCCGAAGGGCAATGGAGAAATCATCCACGACTTCTACTCGGATCTCTCGATAGCCATGTCCCTCTGCCTACTTATCGACCGCAAAAGGATGGATACGTTGTCCCCTCAGTTCTCCCTCCGAAGTCCGACACGCCATCAGGGCGGTGAAGAAGTGTACAGCGCCCGGTTTCGAACAGGGTTACACCGGAAACACTGAAGAACGCACAGCCAGTTATCATCAAAACTCTGGCTCGACTCTTCACGCGCTATCTGTCAGAATGCAAGTACCACTCCGTGGAAACCCGCAGGACCGTGTTTGCTGTACAAGAAGGGAGACTTGAGACGACATTGGCAACTATCGCCCAATCTGCGCTGCTGTCTGTAATCTCTACAAGCTATTCACTCGAGTCATCCTTAAACAGGATCGCAGATTACTGAGATGAAGGACAGCCATGCGAGCAAGCAGGGTTCCAAAGAGGTTAGCATGATCGACTCCACACAGGTTACGAGATCATTGAAGTTTCACGGGGTACAGATGCCGCTTTGCTCACGTTCATCGACTTGAAGAAGGCCTTCGACTCTGTGGAGAAGACTCACTCAGTACATCAAGTTCTCTTCGTGAGCTCTATACAGCAACTTTACGACCCAGAATCTCACCATCCTACAAGGACGAGGGCATCATCGACGTCAAGGAGGGGTTCGACAGGGCGACACCAGCTCGCCCAAACTCTTCAGCGCCGCTCTCGAGAACGTCATGCGTCAACTGGAATGGAAGACATTGGAGTGAAGGTCGGACGGCCGGGCAAACTACACCACCTTCCTTTTGCTGACGACATCGTTGTTATAATGCCGAACATCGAGCAGGCGAGGAGCGAATGCTGGTTGATTTCGACTGCGCCTGTGGTAAGGTTGGTCTGCAGCTGAACCTAACGAAGACGATGTTTATGAGAAACGGAATGGTTCCTGATGCCCCATTCACGCTCGGAAGGAACATCACCGAGTGCTCCAGCGACGTGTACCTAGGTCGGGAAATCAATATGATGAACGACCTAGCTCCAGAGCTGAGCAGGAGGAAACGAGCGGCATGGGGAGCATTCAAGAACATCGAGGGAGTAGTGAAGAAGACGAAGAACATTCGGCTCCGTGCCCACCTCTTCGATTCCGCTGTCCTTCCTGACCTAATCTACGCCTCAGAAACTTGGACTCTGCGCAGGCAGGACGAGCATGCGGTCAGCGTTATCCAACGCGCTGTTGAGAGGACGATGCTAGGAGTAACCCTATACACGCGTGCAGAGGGGAGTCCGGAGTGCCGAACCACGCCAACGATCGAAGATCAGGGACGCTGCCGTTTTTGCCAAGGAATCGAAGATAAGGTGGGCCGGACACGTTATGCGATTTTGCGATGACCGTTGGACCAGAGCTGTTATCGACTGGATCCCTCGGGACGTCAAACGAACACCTGGACGACCGAAGGCTTCACGCAAGCTCTGAACGAAACGAATGATGGACTTCGTGTCTCGAGCAAGGAGGATCCACTGGACCACTCTAGCACGCGACAGGGACGAATGGAGACGTAGCTGGCGCCCGCTCGAGCAAATCGACGATCAACGGGACGACAGGTGATACAGGTGAAATTCCTTCTCCCATCCAACAGCAACACACTTTCTAAGTGGAGAAGACTTGCCTCTAAAACATATCAAAAATTGAACTGATTCGATTTGGCAGATAGAAAGTTACGGTCGAAAAAGCATTTGGCCGAATACTTTTGAGCGCCACTGTACATTTGTTATAAGTATATTTTGAGTTTCCTCACTTTTCTTTCCAATACTCGTGGACAAGTCTAGATAGATGTTCAGGTTATCATAGATAGGGTAGTCAAATTTCTTCTGAGAAACTGCTACCACACACCGTCTTTCGCTATTTATCCCCACTTCTTCCATTCCAAGGTCCTACCGTTTGATTTACATGTTTTCATGCCTTTTGCTTTGTTTACGGGTGTTTTTGTCTCATCTCACGATTCGAATGTAAACACACTGATGCTGAGTCATGGGAGAGTGCGCTAAGCGTAGCGGATATACACCGTTCTATGGAAACCCAGGCATGGGTTCAGGTCCAGGATGTGGCTTTTTGTGCATAACCGTGTATAAACTAACCGTAACCCTATGTATGTCGATACCGATCAGTATTTAATGACTTAAATGCTGTGCAATAGTAATTACTTTACGACAACTTACTGTCTGTATCGGATTGACAAAAGTTCCAGGTCTATCCTGTGAACCTTCACATTTTTAAGGAAACATCTGGATTAAAATCTAGGACATACCATATCCGACAGTAGTGTAGAGATTCATCGCGAAGAATGTCGCACTCCACGGATTCCACTTATGTTGGACTTCCGTGCGATAGTACGTTGACCACTTGTAGACGTTATCGAACGCAAGCAGAGCTTTGTAGTCTTTCTGGAAGTGATTATTTCCCTTATATCCGGATTTTATTTTCAAACGGCGGATCCAAGCTGATCTCACTTTGAATTCATCGAAAATGGTCGACACATTCCAAGAGTCGTTCTCCTTGAATTTTTTCGCTATGGTGATCACTTTGCTGTTCAGATCTTTCACTCTTACAGGATAAACCTGCAATTTTTATCCTTTCGATACAAGTAGTAAGAAGTGCTAAAGTATAACTATCAAACATCATTGTAATTTCTAATGATACTGATCGATACTGCTGTATGATACTACCTGTTGTTCGTTTATCGACTCAATCCTGTAGAAAAGGTAAGCTCCGATGCTCGTGTAGCCAATCACAAGGAAAATCATGAACAGGTGACGCAGTTCGATCCATTCGTTCAACTTCCACAACAAGTAATACTTGTTAAATTTACTTCCTGGAAACTTATAATCGCATATACGTCCATTATAATACTCATGAAGAATTAGTTGTGCTATGTTCATTATGATGTCGCATTTGCTTGAAATTTTTGAATGAGATTATAAAAGTTAAAAATTGATGCCGTACCATAAGCACAGTATTTCATGTATCACAAAATTTACTGAAAAAAAATCACCTGAACCACGTGTTGGGGGCACCAAATTAGCAGTGTGAGCCGGGTCTACTTGTCGCTTTATTGTCGGTTCCGCTGAAAGTTATTTCAGTTCAAGGCTGAGAATAGGGTACAACGAAAGGTAGCTTCCATCATTATTAGAGTCAAAATTACCGGTGTATTTGTACACAGAAGTGTCAGCGAGTTGGGTTACTTCAAGCTCTGGCACAACTGAATGATGAAAAAAACCTCCGATAGTGTCGCGACCCATTGCACAATATCTGAACTGAGAGTTGTGAAGAAGTCACGCTTTTTGAACTACCTGAATAATAAAAATCATATTGTAGCGTTGTGTCAAGAGCCGATATGGGGGGAGAGGCAAAGAAGACATTGCGCTCATGGCATAGATCAGATTTTCGTTGCGAAGAACGCTGCCAATGTTGCATGTACCGCAGCTGAATATTTCTTAAATGCCCCTTCATAAGCAGAAGCACGCCCTCCTTCACTACTTCCACAATTTTCGAAATAGGAAATCGTCCCCCTTCTTTAGAGGTTATGTTCAAGCTCTGAGACACCCGAATGACGAAGCCCTCCGATTGTGTTGCAGCCTGTGACAAAATAATGAGCTGAAGGTGGTATCGTGGTCGCATCTCTGATTTACTATTAATGTTTATCGGTGAAATCTTCTGATATCCAATTTATGGCGGTGTCGAGGAGTATCGCATAGTCCCTGAACGATTCATAGGATCGAAGCCGCGGGAAGCCACCAGCACAAGCCAAGCTTGATTCCTTTCAATCTCTTGTTCTTCGTGTCAGACTTGTTTGGGAGGAAGTGGGGGACGGGACAAAATATTGAGCTGAAACATAAATTATCAGCGCGTCATTTAATGAGCCAAGTACGCATCCAAACAAATATGCATTTTTGGAAGATAATCGATTGCGAACGTCGAACTTTAGGTCTTCGATAAAAAAAAGGTAATACTCAAAAAAATCAGAAATTTTTGTACGACGAAGAAAAATTTGGTGTGTAGGACGTAACATGTTGCTGCATAGACAGTATGTTATACAAAGTGGTCGAAGTACTGTAGAAAGGTCAAAAGCGCGGCGCATCGAAAAAAAAAGGTTCTTTTACAGCGAGTGCACTTCTACTTGAATATACAAGTGGGTGGAGGAAGGCTTCAGGTTCCATACAGCCGTTCAAGAGTTTCGTCTCACTAAAACAAACGCAAAGAAAATATCAGGATTATGTGAAAGACGGCCTACGAGCATACGTACAGGCGAACTGAAGCGGAACACAGCGCTTAAAAAGACCATTTCGTTACCTTCTCCGCCGCATAGCTGCTGCGCAAGGCGTGGCAAAATAACACCGACAATCTCACGTGTTTAGCAGGAATTGCACGTGAAAATAGTACTATGTGGTGAACGACTGCAATTTGATTCAACAACCTAATTGTACCGTAGTTGTTAAAATAAAATTAATGTTTAATATAAAATTGGTGAATTTAAGTGTTTTGTTTACTACACTTCGTTTTCCTTTATTATTCTTGGGATTTGATATCGGCGTTAAAACTTTTGTGAATTTATTCGAGGGATATGGTTTAAACACGTTAACGACATCCCGATGGGGCTCGTTTTGGTCGGTTTTTTGGCAAATTCAAATCGAAACCCTGATCTGAATGCATTATCTTATGGGAAAACACTGCACCAATCAAGAGTGGCGGAAGGAGTGATGTCTGTTGTGAAAGAAAATAAACAAAAAAATTCCGAGATACCCCCACAAAAGGGTTATCGTCACCATGTGAAAGAAGTCGTTCAGCCTCCATTCTGAACGTGCCACATGTTAAAACCTTAAAGGACGAATTCACGCTGGAAAGGCAACCCATTTCAGGTTAACTTAGGGATGGCGATTGTTACATGAAAGAAGGAAGAACCATGAGAAACGGCCCAGAACCCAAGAAATAGGAATCCTTAAAGGAATCTTGCGCGGAAAATTCTTGCACTCTTTCCTAACATGAATATGTCAGTTGTGATTCACGAATACACACAACGTTTTGTTCAGCGCAATAAGATCGTTTCCTGAAGAGAAACGAACGTACAAAAACTACACGTTATGGACCATCGAAGGACCAGGAGGCAGAGCCAGGCGAGGCATGGAAAGAAGACGGCGTTTGGCCGGCTACGTACCAGGCGACGCAATGAGAGAATCGGGTTAAAGCGCGCGATTTCGGAGAGTGGAGACAAATCGATCGATGGAATAGGATGGAGTAGAAGTGTAAGATGTGAATGCAACGAAGCAGAAGGCCAGAAAGAGCTTCTAGTGAATGCACTCCAAGAAACAAGTTTGAGCATCCCCGCCGCCAGCATTCGTGAAAGACGTCCGTGGGCAATTCGAACGCGTAGCAGCGTTTTCGAGTTTTCGAATTTCTAATCAGAATGAAAGCAATACTTCAGTTCTTTTTACTATTATCGTGGATAATTAGTCTCAAGCCAGTGATTTATGGCTGAAATAGAATCAGGATTTTTCTGCGCAAGATTCCTTTAATTCCCCGCCGATTCGCGCATTGATGCGACTCTTATCGCTGTCCCCTCCTCAACATCATGCTCTCTCTGCTATCTGATCAAGCCACGTATAGACTTGCGGCCAGTGATCAGCTGGTCGGTAGGCGGAGATCGCCGGACCCGCCAAGGGCATAATAGGTCCCCGAGGTCAAATTTTTCGATGCGAATTCCGCATTAGTTCGCACCTTTAGGAAGTCCATGGGTCCCCCAACTACGTCAGTTTCCCTTTCTTCGACCTTCATTGGTGTGTGTGTGCAGTGGCTTAGACCATTACAAGATATGACTAACCAGTATACAAGCCAGTTTCTAGAAACGATCAATTCGCCGACTCGAGCTATGCCTAAGGAATGTTCCCCCGAGTAGTTTCAGAAATTCAAATAATGACTTTGATTTTAATCATTTCACAGCATCAATAAGAACAACTACATATTAGGATGGTCCATAAGTCTTGCAACAAACTGGCTAAATTTTGACTTTAATATTTTTGATATATTTTTGTTCCACTCATTCAGAACGATACACATCATCAATATCTACAACCTATTGTTGTCAACGCACTAGAAGCTGTTCGATGCCTCTCTTGTAGAATTCCGTTGAATACTAATCGAAGGAAAATGAGGTGTCGATTTTGATGGCTAAGATGGTATTTCTTCTCTAGGACGTGGTCTGGAGAGGGGCGCAGGTGTGCATCCCTTGGCACGAGGTTAGAGCTGTAAGGTGGATGCGGAAGAACTCTCGATTCGAGAGTTCTAACATTTTCCTGGGTTTTCTTAGCAAGAGTAGGTCAACGGTGTCAAAAACTTTGCTTTGCTTTTCTTCTGTATTGAAAGCGTTGCAGTCATGCTGTGGACGGTTGACTTACGCGTTGACTGCGACATCTTCACGAAAGGGGTTTACAAAGCTCAATCCCTCTCGTATTCCACCAGAAATCGAAGAAGGACCTACACGGCCGGGGTTGAACTTGAGCAGTAACAACTCCGGAAGCGTTCGAGCTAGATTGTCGCCGTTTGTTTATTGGTTAGCACGTTGTACCCCACCTCATCGTCGGCAAATGTGATGGATAGTCAATCAAAGAATAAACAGTAAGTCGACTGAGCATGTCGATGTCAGATCATGTTTAAAGCTGATCGGGCTCAAGGCATGTGGGGTCCAAACTCTACATTTTCGGACCTTTACAAGTCTTTGGGGGTGCCACAGTGCTGTATCCTTGTTGCATCGAAATTGCTCTGACAAAGGACCGATAGTCCATCCTGATCCCTTTTCAGCAGCGCCAGATAGAGCAACGTGATTGTCAGTCACGAGGTGGTAGGAGTGTGGATCATCTTCAAATAAGAAAATTCAACGCTGAACAGAGTGAGCCGCCTGTGCACCGTGAACTGAGAGAGCGTGCTCTCGCCGATCTTCTGGCTAATCCTTGGTGTAGCATGTGTTGCGAAACATTCCAAGCAGTACTCGTAATGAAAAAAATAGGCATGAAGACCTTTTCGCGATGTCGATGTAATATCCAAAACAAGTAGCCAGACAGCCAGCTGGATGGTTGGCTGAAATTGCAAATGTGGATGTTACGTAAGCAAACATGTTGCGGATTTTTCGGAGCTCTAACAACTTATGGACAAACCTAATATGTACAACAGCTGCAGCAGTTGGAAAATACTAGTGATAACGGAGCTGCCTGGTGGTTTTTACGAGCGTAGTAGTGATTTTGTCTGACGCGAGAGAGCAGTGGACGGTGTCAATGCCCTTTTGGAATTTTTGTTACTGAATAGTACATGTGGAGTTCTTAAAGAAGCGAAAATGGACAAGGAGTAACAGTGAATTTGAATAGCACTTGTTTATAATTTTAGTCCTTATAACTGAAAAAATGACGTCAATAAATTGTACTCTCCAGAACTGCCACGTCTGCAAAACTTGTTACAGTACGCAGAGTTAGCCTTCGTCAAGGCAATTCTTCGGCACTCCATTTGGGGGTTGCATCTGCAGCGAATCGCCTGCATGCGGTAGTAAAGGCTTTTTATATAGGTCACTTAAGTGAATGGGTTCTTCCGTAGATATTTTGTAGCATCTCTGTCAAATAACATGTGATGTTGAACCCGAGAGGACGACTAGGGCTATACGTGAGTAACTGGTTGAACAACCGCATGATCCTTGATCACAGCTGGGTTTTATGGCGAATCGTTTAGTCATTTTAGATCGCCACTACAGCGCTACGTAACTCTGCAAGCAGTGAATGAGCCCTCTGGAATGGTTTCGTGTTTAATACCTCCTTCAAGTGGCAGTTCTTTGAGCTATTTTCAAATACTGCTGGTATTACTTTAGTTCCGGGATAACGTTCTTATCATAATGTTTGCCTGAAATTTCAGTTCTATTAAACACTTGCGATATGAAGGTTTCGCCGGGCGCATGACGTGACGTGCGAAGTTTACAACACATAGTGGTCTACCAAATGGTCTCTATCCATTTCTGTCGCAGGGCTGTTAAGCGCCGGTGATAGTCAAGCAAAGATGTTGTAACAAAGGGTACCAGCACAACGACCGTCACGTCATTTTGACGCACTGATTAATGTAAAACTACCGTACTCACCGGGTAATCAATAGACTTTGTGAGAAGAAGAGAGCGACATTTTCTGATCTCTCCCCGTGGTCACGACGTCAATAGATGGTTTTCTCAGGTTCCGGCCGTTCAGAAATCCCGAGTCTTTTGGGCGACAAACTC